TTATTATCACGAGACTTCCATACTTACAAACCTGATACTTATTGTCATCCAGTTCTTGACAAGTGAAACAAGTGAATTTATTTCTGCAAATAGGCTACAAGGCAGCACTTTTACACGTCAATTTTATCAAGCGAACGATGAGGTCGACAGGCCACTACTACACTATAAGCCTCTTTCTTTACATATTATAAATAAAAGGATTAAGGAATCGTCTTATACAGTGGAATATTAGGTACAGGTATGTTTTATAGTATACTAGTGACCCGCCCCGGCTTCGCACGGGTGCAATATGCATGTATTATACATATAAAACCTTCCATAAAAATCACTCTACCTATTAAAAAAATCACATCAAAATCCGTTGCGTAGTTTTGAAGATATAAGCATACATAGGGACAGACAGACGGCGGATAACGACTTTGTTTTATACTATGTAGTGACTATCGAAGGTATTAACACTTAATTAAAGTAAGAAATAAAGCTTAAAAAAAGCTAATGACGCCAATGAAACTCCTGTTAAAGTAACGACGAGTTTTCAATTAAAAGATATAAGAAAAACTAGTTGGTAACATCCTGCAGACGGGATTTGTGTTAACGACTAGCACTTCCAAGTATTTTATATCAATTGGAAAAAGGTTTTCTCATAATGATTCTTATCTAAGCAGTCGCCTTGTATGTCTAATGGTCGCAAGCCCTTGGTACGCTTATGTTTCGACCGTAGATTGGGTCCGAATGTCATTTGCCTGTCCAATAAGGAAATCGAAATAGTTCTCTAGTAACGTATTCGGTAATCGTTAGATAACTTTAGTCTTCCACTTATACACGGGAATAATATTATCTATAAAACTATAATGAACCAAATTGAATGAGTGAACGAGCTTTTCAGAGAGTACCTAATATAAAAACATTGTTACTGTAGTTTTGAGCTCTCTCAAGGTGAAAACTCTATCATTTTCTCTTAGTGACGTTAAACTGATAATAAATATTTAGAGATACGTTCTAATCAACTGACTGTTTAGGGCCTATGCCCAGGCGGCAGGCAGTCAGTTAGACATAGGCCTAAGACTGAAATTAAGGTCTAGAAAGCATTTAATTTACTCTAAGACGCAATAAATACAGACATTTTAATGAAACTAGTGCAAACCACTGAATTAGGTCAGTAATTTCAATTGAAATTCAAGGCAGTCATTTCATTTTAGGATTTATTACTGAAGAATAAGGGCTATAGTCGAAGATTATGTGATAAAGGTACCACGCGAGAAAATCACAATTTTCTCTTTGTTTTTGTTTTAACACCCGCGGCTATAAATACGGACGGCTCTCATTCATACCCCAGATATTCACTGTCTATACTCCACAGGCTATCATTAAACTTCAAATTAATGTTATTAGAGGAAGCACGCAACCACATTAATAACTATTTACTAAATTAAATCAATTTTTTTCAGAAACTTTCAAAGCATTCTGTAAAAAAGTAAATGGCTATGAATGCTCGTATTATTGAATTAGATTTGGCGTGTACCTGTCTAATTTTGTTGGAACGTGGTTATTGCTGGTACTGATACCTTGTAACTGTTCTTCTATATTCAGTTCAGTATTGACTGTTACGGATAGAAGTTAAATGTTGCAGAATTTCATTTTCTTTTTAAAAAAATTAGTCTTTACGAGTTTTTTGAACTGAGTTGTGGATGCGATTACAAAATAATTATCTACACTCCATATTTAGAAGAAGATTTTGTGGACTACAAAGATTTGTTTAATTGTGCAGTAGCCAGCTATCCATATGCCAACCTCCGCGATAACTGTTTCAATCAAGTATCAGCACCTGTAAGGAGTTTAGTGCCTATTTATTATTGTTTATTTATTTATATCACAAAGGTAAGCATCTTATAATCCCTACAAAACCGTTGCAATGGTTTGACTGTGGGGTCAACTATACATAGAAAATTTGTTTATACATAAGAATAAGTTTATACATAAGTGAATCAATTTTTGAAATAATCACTATTGTGTGGAAAATAAGGAAAATAAATTACCCAGACATGATGCCCTCAATAGCCAAGCTGGCAGTTAAATTAGGGATGTCCAGACTAACTAGTAGAAATGATTTGCAATTGTATCGATAGTTTTTATATCGATTTTGCGGTTATTGTCGGAGAGAATTGATTGGTGGTGTCTTGGAATCGTTATTTGGCTCGCGGTCCTCGTTTAGGTATCAATCTTCGTGTCAATCGTGAGTCGTGATGCCTCATTGGGGTCAGAAACTCAGAATCTGGGTGTGACGTCACCGCTCCCAAGTCCGGAAGCGCCCCGCTATACACATACTTGATTCATTTTTCTTTCTTCAATATCATTATACCTCACATTATAGAAGATGCCGTCTTATTTATTTTTCTTAGTTGCCGTTATTATGCGGAATGAAGATGTAACTTTTTATGAGTCCATCAGGCACAACCTATTAGTATGGTTCACGCTTTAATGGCAACCAAATAGTTTTTGTTCTATTTCTTATTGTTAGTTTTTCGACGGATAATAAAGTGATTTTGCATTAGTTTTAATGTAAAGCGTGTAATGTAGGTACCAGTGTAAATTATAGTAAGAACTAAAGAAAGAATTAACTTATCAAATCATATTCAATTGAGTCAACTATTCATGAAAGAAGTGGTATAATTCCTTTCCGTATTCCTTAATGTTTAGTATGAAAAAAATAAAATGTAAAATATTAAAATATTTTTATATAAAAATATTCTTATGTTATAATATAATAAGTATTAATAGTTGTTTAATTAGATTATATTTTGCTCCATATGTTGCCGTGCCCTAGCCGGGTTTCACGTTGAAACTGTACCTCATGTAACACCAATTGTGCACATGATATGCAATAAAAGAATTTGAATTTAAATTTGAATTATTTCTATAGAAAAAGAAGGTTTCATACAAAGTTATTCCTAATATCTTTTTTTAATACACGCACTGACTCATGTATGTACGATTCGATCAAGCATTGTTAGTGAAACAATACTTGTGAACCGTACTATCACTAACGGTGCTCTTATCACCCCAAATCTTAACATACTGTACTAATTTACGCTAAAGTCAACTCGCAATTGTCTCAGTATTCACTTTTACGTGTATGAGTAAACAAAAGACCATTAATGGTGATCATTCCCTTTGTTTTGGAGAAAGTCGTCGGGTCCCACACGTGCGTCTGTCAAATTCTCATAATGTACGACTTTAATTGTTGTTAATTAGACGTAAAATGTGCTAAATAACTATACTTTGAATTATTTCGTTTAATAAGTTAATTTTGTATGTCACAAAGCCCGACGCTCTTGTTTTTCTCATTAGTTGATTCTTATTTTAAAAATACTCTCTCGTTCTAACTGGCCATAAACAAAGTTTAAAACGAGGTCGCACCTCTTTGCTCTCTGGTACCTAATGTTTTTTTTTAAACGTCTCCTCGCGTATTTCGAATGTTTTCTTTATTTATTTGTATTGCGGCTCCTTGCAGGTGGTCCACAGACCACAGTGATTGCAGACCAAAGGTTCAAGTAGAAGAAAAACCTAACAAAATCGTAACCGAAGTAAATTGCTTTGGAGATATAATAAACATAAAAATAAGCAAAAACGGTGAAGATGAATTTATTCTATCAAATCTATGATTGTAATAGGTATTCGAAGTTAGATAAGAAATGACTGGATAGAGTTATTGTACCTACCAAATCCAATTTCAAAAAGAACGCAGCACACAACGTCGAAACTGTTTAAGACTAGGACTGATTTATAAACTATACATTTATGTGAATGAACATTTCCGCAAAGCAATAACTTATGTATGTAAAATGGACTTATATACACGTACTTATAGTAAGCGGTTACAATAAATCACAAATATCATGACTATACATTAACCCCGAAAGCTTTGACAAGAAAGCCATACAGTTACATACTCGTACAATGGTGGCACATTACCGATTTGTGAAAGACAATTTCCATTGGTTGGATCGTGTAGAGGAAATGCAATATTGTTGGTATTATTGTTCCTATTCCTACTATCTGCTATGAACACTTTATTCTAGTGCTGTTTACAAATAGGCCTGATACCTTTTTGATGTATGGTTATGGAAAAGGAACTTAAAAGCATGTTAATCTAGGGACGCGGACGAAAACAGTTACCTATGTCTTTTGATTCTGTAAGACTGTAACAAACGCGTGTTTGTCTGTCGTGTACGTTCTGTTTATTTTTAATTGAATTAATTTCATTACTTTGAACGGTAAATTGTTAATTCTATTTTAATCTTTTACAAATATAAAAAAAATAAAAGGCTGGGGGAAAAGAATGCAGGCCAAATTTAAGAAAAAAAGATACGAACGCGTTTCTCAATTTGAAAATCGTTCTTAATTTGAAGATTGCGATTTAACCAAAATGTCTTGTAATAGTATCGTCACAGCCAGAGAGTTTTTGCCGGCATTATACGTGAATAAATGGAAAAGGATTTGGTTTTTGCCACTGAAAACGCCCGCTAAGTTCCACGGAATTACTTAGTTGATACGTAACCGGTAATTTTATTTCGTCCGATTAGTTCTAGAGTCATCAGCCGCGCATTTTGAGCAAACCACTAAGATAATTGTACGTAATGGAAATTATAAAAGATGTTAATTATGCGTTTGCGTCCATCTATTTTGAGGATTTAGTTTTTGCTGGGATGGGCAAAAAATAGTCAAATACAATGTTGGTATCTCGCATCTCAATATTTATTCAATCTTTCAAATAACATGACTCAAAATGTGGTTGAAGATTAATTTTCTTTTAATACTTTTAATCTTAGTTGTCAATACATCATCATTCATCATAAAGTCTAAAGTCTATTATTCAATCGTAGCTCAACTGTAAACACAATTTATTAACTCAACAATGGCGAGTAAATATTTTAAAATACGCCCATTAGAGAGGCGATTAATAAAACTTTTTGAATAATATTTCTTTTCTTTTTTCGTAGGAGTCCCGACGGATCGGACGGAGCATGCGTTTGCGTCGGCGCAGGAGTACAAAGAGGCACTCGAGGCTATACGGAGGCACACTGGCGCCGTAAGTAACACTTTATATTAAGGCTAGGCTACATCAGTACGGCAAAGCGATCGCAAAATTACATTTAAGGCACTGCAAATGACGTAGTGAATTGCTGCATTATATAATTAAATCTATTCCACTGAAGCTATATGCATGTATAATATTTTTTCGTGGGCGATAACATATTACCTAGCATCTAGTCGTCGAATATTATGCAAATTGTGTTGAGTGATACTTCGCAGTAACGCAATGTTGTGGGCTCGCCCTTACACATTCACAGGTCCGATACCACAGATACCCATCAACCATTATAAAAAAGTTGAAAAAATAGTCTCAACTTAGAGCCTGGAATGTAATCTGTATTCATTGAGTGCCTCTAGTGTTGCACTTGTTTATTACCAAAGTAATTCTTTGCAATCAATAATTTATGTAATTCGCTCATTATCTACCATTTTAATAAGAATAAGTTCCTACTGCTCCATCTGTGGTAGGTACTTACCAGTTCCATACAATATAAGTACAATTAAATGCAGTAATGTCATTTGAAAAAAATCCATTATGTTGGGCAGTACCTACTTGCATCATAGACGTATAATAATGGGTCGGGAGCCATCTCTACTTAAAAGCTACAAAAAGTTGCTGGATTTAAACCAGACACACAAAAAAGATACTGTAAAATAGAGTGAATGTGTACTTTTGAAGGTACATATTTTGGTAGGTAAAGATAATTCTTTAGTATACAAAATTTTATCTTATTTGCCATCTTTATATATATAATTCTTCTGTGAGTGTGTATGTCACTGAACTTCTCTCAAACAACTGGACCGATTTTGATGAAATTTTTGTGTGTGTTCAAGGGGATCTGGGAATGGTTTAGATTCACAAATCAGCCCGGCAGATGGCGCTGCAGTCATGGTTTGGGTTATTTATCCTAAACAGCTGAACTAATTTGAATTAATTTTTGTTTATACATTCAAGTGGATATGCAGGACAACGTCTGTTGGGTCCGCTAGTTTTTATATAAACTTAACGTAGAGTTTCAGTAGCATTTTCACGTTCTTGATGATAAACTTGATCTTAATAATTATTTTGTGTAATGAGATGTCAAAGTCAAAGAAGGATCTAGAAGTTAGATACTTCTTTCTAAGTCTTCACCTTCTGCGGTTGTACTTTTCACACGAAATTGTATCAAAGCATGTATGCCTCCTTCGCACTACGCCAGTAAAGAAAGGAACGAATGGTCTCCCATTCACATATCATCAGCACGCGTTAATTAATTTTAAAAGCTGTTGGCGCCTGCGGCTGTGTTTTAACCACACATAATATGCCTCGAGACACCCACGAGATACGTCTCAAAAACATACGAGTAAAATAAAATACCTTAAGGCTTAAATCACACTATATTTATTTTATTTAGCCCTGAGGGTTCAAAGCCCTATATTAAAAGTGGGTTCCATTTTAATTAATATTTCCATATCTATAAATATGGAAGGTACTAATTATCGGTAGCACCATAACACCGCCTTTGAGTAAAATATACATATCTGTAAATTAAAAGATATCTTGATAGAATCGTAGGAAATAAAATAAACGGAGACGTTGTTAGACCTGTTCGGTACTTATGTACTTGTTGCATCTTCATTTTATCTCACCTATATGCATGGGGACTATTCCCATTCCCTGTACTTGTTCTATTCTATAGCAGGATAAGTATTGCCTTACGTAATATATTGTAAGGTATAACTATCTTCTTTTAAATCTGTAGGACCTTGGAATGAGAACAATCATTCAATACGCGATCTTAAAAATTATTGTTGTTGTTTTTACTCGACAGCGCTAAAAATAAAGTTTTTGATATTATCCTAAAATTACAAATTACATAGAAACAAGCCAATAAACGGGCAGACGGATCACTTGATGGTAAGCAAGCGGCGCCGCACATGGACACCTGGAACACCAGAGGAGTTACAAGTCTGTTACCGGCCTTTTGTGGGTTGGAAATTAGAGGATTATTGGGGATGCAGGGATTGGGTAAGCGGGGTGGGTTATTGGGCCTCTGATAACCTCACTCTCACGACGAAACACTACGCAAAAGTTGTTTCACATCGGTTTTCTGTGAGGCCGTGGTATCACTCGTGCCGAAGCATGACTCTCCCACACTTTTTCGTTTTCTTGTATTTTGTATACAAATTGGTGAAGACCTAGTAACATTTTGTGTAAACCTGTGTATATCTTTAATAAAGTGATGTAGGGTAAAGGATATTGTACGCAAAGATACTACCTATGAAGCATAGAGTACTGACGTACCCGCTACTATATGTAGTTGATATACGTATGTAGGTATGTACCCCCATCTTACAGGTTTCGAAGGAAGTTGTAAAGGTACACAGCTCTTGATTTATTCGTCTATTAAACGTTAGTTTAATTGTTATTTGATATCGTTAAACTTTATGCGAAACGTCTGTCGTATATCTACCCACTAGACAAAATGGCGTAATTATTTTATGGCATGTGGCATGTTGTTTTAAAGTTTCAATCAAGTCGGTTAACTGTTCTACAGCTGTTCAATTTAAATTTATATGTGCTATTGAATTTTAATGTTAATTCATTTTTGACATTATGTTGGTTAATGCGCGTAATCGGGGTCATAATATATGATAATATTACCGTGGTTTAATGGACCATCAATTGAAATCAAATTATTAACATTAATGATGTTTTGGAAATGTTGCAGTGTCAAGCTGCAGCAGAAACAGAGACAGTAAAGGTTTGCATAAGTTATTACAAAACTAGTATCTAGATTTTTCTGTTTTTTTAGTGTCTTCCGAAGCAACACACACAAATAAGTCCCTGTTGTTTATAATTATATAAATTATATTTACCTATATAGATAAATAGATGGGTAGCATGTTCTAAAAACCAACAATTTATTATAATCCGTTTGTTTGTCCGGATACACCGAAATTACCGTAATTACGGGATGTCTTAATATTATCACTGCGAAATGGTAATCGGTGCGAACATTATTTTTAGAAGCGAGCTAGAAAAAGTATATAAATGTTAGCAATCAATCCTGTTGAAACTTAGCTAAATAATTTAGTTTTAATGCCTAAGGCTTAATCTCCTAAGACGTTTTAATCGCAGTGAGCTAGGCAGTCTGCTCATCCATTAACAAACCTGTCGTTATCCACCCTTTATATGATAACAGGGTGATTAAATTATCATTTTTGCCTATCTGGTTCCAGGATTGCATCGTTAGGCGATGGCAGGACTTTTGAACAAGAAGTTTTACTTTCGATTACCGAAGCCTTAGCTTTTTTTTAAGGGGGGGAAATCATCGAATGACTGCTCCCGCCTGGGTGAGGTGGGAGGGAGTGTCAGACTCTTACTGACGAAAAACCGCCCCGTTCCTTCTCCTGCACGTCGAGCCGGAGCCCCGGTTACCCGTTAGGTTCTCCGCGACTCCGAATCGGTATCGGCCCTGTTGGGCCACATCTGTGGTGGTCTGATGGCTCTTTGAGGCGCGCGCGGAACGCGATGCGCCGTATGCTCGGGTCTGTTTCTGGTCGGACGGGACGACCCATGCTCGCCGTCCGCAGGCCCGCGCTTGCGGTGGCCGGAGATCGTCCCGCGATCCCCGACGCCCGGTGTGTCCTTCGCGGTGGCTGGGTTGCGAGGAGGCAGAGCTTCGCTGCCTCACACGTCCCGCCTCCTCCTTAGCTAACATGAGGAACCTTTTATTAGAGGCTCAAGGCAGTATGGTGGAAATGTAACCCGTAAACGCAATAGGATGATCCTCTTTTGCCAGGGTCACATTACTTGCCAAGTAGGCGTTTCGTTATAAACCTGGACTTCTAATTACTCCTTCGGGGATTAAAAAGGCGTTTAGTCCTTATATTTTTTTCTGAACTGGCTTACAGTTGCATTAATAAATATGTCTTTTATATCTAGCCATTAATTTCTCCTATGACATGTCTTAATTAAAGGTGGAAAATACAAGGGAAGAAGTAACTACCAAGTACTTATTTCTGGAAATAGCTAATAATTTACTTGACATTCAATATTAATGTCACACCTGCTTGTTTCCTACGGGAAATGAAAAGTTGTAGTAGTAATGAAAACATATTCTTTTCATTTTAATTATTTTTAACCGACTTCTCAGAGTAGGAGGTTCTAGAGAAACATGATTATAATGCAATTCTAATTCCTTTTCTCAGGAGCGTAGCAAACCTCAGCGTACGTTAGAAGCGGAACCTGAGGAGTCCCAGCAGGAGGTGGAACAGGAATACCTGGACGAGCTCCTGGTGCCTGAACCCTGGGAGCTGAACAATACAGCACGAGCTGGCACTGAGATCCTGTTCTTCAACAGAGTGCCTAAAGTTGGCAGTCAGACATTTATGGAACTACTACACCGGCTCGCCTATAAAAATCAATTTGGTAAGGACATAGACCTTATATGTATGTGACAGTCCCTATTCTTAGGTGTAATATAAGGAAGAAGAAAGAAGGAAAGAAAGAAAGAAGAATTGTTTATTTGCACATTTAATAAATGGTGCATAATGAAGGTTTAGTACGTTAAATACTCGTTCGGGATAATACTTCAAGCTGTGAAATTTTATTGTAATAGGGTTAAAAACAAATATTGCAACCTTAAATTCTTTATTCAATTAATTCCTGTACGAACATCTAATGTTTGGTCAGAATTCTCAAAAATCGGAATACGGGTCACCAAGTAGGTATATAGTTTACTGATTGTGGTTACTTCATATATTTAACCAAATTTTTAGAAGTAATCTCTGGCAAAAACCGGTACCTACCTAATAGGTAATTATGAGACAACTTGAGATATCTTGGTGCGTGTAAATAACGTCCATATTGATTACCTTTTCATTGTACGAATAGGTTAATTAAAATAATTAATTGCTTCGTATTGTCTCTTCCAATAAGTCTGACTGAATAAATATTTTTCTATTATACCCATGGGAAATACCGGTTCCTTTAACAATTTATACCTAATTGGCGCAAGAGTCGGGAAATTCACACAATTGTCATTTATTTACATCAATAAAGATATGGTTTATTTAATACATTAATCATAGTATACCTGTTTATTATACAGGGTGTCCCTGAAGTCAACGATAACATATGCAAAAAAAGATGAAAAAATAAATAACTGTAGCAGCATGAGTCAAAAGACTGGCACAGGTTGTACTTTTTCGTGAATAACATATACCTAGGTCATTGTAATTTAAAAACTGTATGATTTGGATTTTTTATACTTTTCTGATAACTGTTGGAACTTTGTCGATCACCTGGTGCCATTTGATCGTCGACTTCAGAAACACACTGTAGATACAAAGGATGTTTAATAGATATGATTAACAAAACAACAACTCTATAGACGAAATCTTCTCGTTTTAAATAGTTACTTACGAATCGCAATGTTAAACATCGGAAGTAATTTACTATACCAACTTATCTTGAAAGTTGTTAATGAATACAACTTTATTCACTTAAACTGAGATAGTAAATACATTAAAATAATATTTCCTTATGTAATTTGATTAGTAATTAAACGTGAAAACATGGACTTTAGCAGGTACTTAATTACCGGTTTGCATTAGTGTGTGTTTATGTATTTGTGGGAGTCAACATAAGTTTTTACTACAACTTAACATAAGCAGAGGTGCACATTACGGCACTTAATGCCACTATACAATGTAACACCCACTTTTCACTATTTATGTTATAAGTCCCATGTAATAGGGGGTGAGCCTATTGCCATAAGCCGGGCACAATTCCAGGCTCCGTGCTACTACTGAGATCTTTTGAAAAACAGTGATATTTTGTCCAACTCGGAAATCGAACCCCTTGCCCAAGTCGCACTTGTGACTACTCGGCTAATGAGACACTCACTACTTTTTTTACTACAATTCCTTAATTAAGAACAATATTTTTATAAGAATGTATTTAATACACTGTTAGTTGCCTGAGAATATTTACTTGATTAACGTTTGAAACTCATAATAAAATAATAAAAACTGTCTGTTCCATTCTTTGCTGCTAAAGATAAATTATTTAATTAGCTGTGATAGGTAAAAGGTTATAAAAGTAAAGGTTGAATTAAAATAATGTATACATCATCATAAGTAAGTATGTTTGTTATCTGTTCTTACGCCATTTTACCACGGAGAAGACAGTAGTGCATACTATTAAATCTTTGCACTCAATTTTCGACAGCCATGTACTTAATGAGTGGATTTGGATCAAACCTAATATAATATATATAATTATATACAGGGAATAATGAAAACTTTCAAAAACCGACAATAGGTACCTATACCTAACCACCTCATGTGCATTCTGAAAATCAAGCCCCCTTTATTATTTACTACTTACGCAACCTCAATCTTTTATATATATGTATAATGCTGCTATGCGTGTATATGTCATTGAACTCCTCCTAAACGGCTTGACCGATTTAAATTATTTTTTCTGTACGCGTTTGAGTGGCGCCCTGGATGGTTTAGATTCACAAATCAGCCCGGCAGATGGCGCTGCAGTCGAGATCTAGGATATTTATCCTAAACTAACAATAATAATTATTATTTTATTGGTCTTTCCTTTCATACATATGCAGGACAACACCTGTCGGGTCCGCTAGTAAATTTATATTTTTCTAATAATAGTTGTCTGGTTTAGGTTTCCATCGGGATGCTGTTCAACGTGTGGAGACCATTCGCCTGGCACCCGCTGATCAGATGGCACTGGCTAGTCTTGTGTCTGCGTACGACCCGCCAGCTTCTTACATCAAACATGTCTGCTACACTAATTTTACCAGGTAATTTGGATAAATATATATATTTTTTATGGAATAAGTCGATAAACGAGCGTCTGCTCGTTTAACATGGTTGCCGCCAATGGACACCAAAAACAACAGAGGAGTTACATGTGCGTTACCGGCCTTTTGGTAATTAGGAATTGAAGGATTGCTGGGGATTCGGGGATTGGTGACATTAGAGAGGGGGTAATTGGGCCTCCGGTAACCTCATTCACACGTCGAAACATAACACAAGTGTTGTTTCACGTCGGTTTTCTGTAAAGCCGGGGTATCAGCCCGGTCGAGAAGGACCATTCGTGCCGAAGCATGGCTCTCCCACACTTACATAGGGCAATATCACCACTCACACTAGTGAATAATGCAGGATCTGAATAGTGTAAGAGAATTAAGATTACTCATGTGATATAAGTAGAGATGTTTTTATCATAAGGAATAAAGATTTTTGATTTTTATTTATGAGTATGAATGTCAAACTGCACTGCAGTTAATTTATAGGTGGTTGCTACGTAAACAAAGCAGCATTTGGTAAAGACTCTCTTAATAACAACAACTTCACAATAGAAACAGTCAAAAGTTATTCCCATGCAAAATTCAGACAATTTTCAGAGTCTTGCAAAGTTCTATTTAAGTTTGATACTGTGTATGCGATACTAATAGTAGAGTGCTCGAAAGACAAACCGCCGCCGGCAACCGAAGCGTGAAATTAGCGAAGCGAAACCAAATAAACATGAAAACCCCGCGCTGTATTCATGTTTGCAACTTGTTAAATCGGAGCTGTAATGGGTAAACTCCCAACAAAACTATGTCAGCAACTAGTAAATTACTACACAATAAAAATACCGGACATGATCTAGGACTGTAGGTCTACAGTTTAACAATTTCAGCCATTATTTGTGGATCCAATCATCAGTTTTTCTTTCTTTTTCATTGCATTTTAACGAGTTGGTTGCGGTGACTTAACTAGAATGCCGGGTAACATGAAGCAAAGCTGAACGTTTTCCCACAACCAGCTGCTTCATTATTTTATGTGAATTAACGAACTGTTAGCACTCATGAATGTTTATGAGATGCCATTGATACCGCAAATTAAATTACCTTTGAAGTAGACTCAGTAGGTCTCTAGTTACTCCCAATCACCACTTCAAAACATCACCGCAAAGAGGTATGTGAGGCTGCAACCTGCGAGTTCCATCTTCCCAGTCATTAGTCTAAGCCATTGAAATCAAATGAAGCATAAACTAGCGGTATCTGGCGCTAAATCTTCATTGATGTGAAACAAAAATAGACTTCCAGCTGTCAAGACATTGATACTCATATTTACGCGTCACTAGTGTTGGAAAGCCGGCGGCTCTGAAGCATCAATCACACTGCACCAAACATTATTGGTTGGATACTCGTAAACATATGATTAATGTATCTTGTGGACGTTAATTGCGATCTGCTATTACTTGATAGCCGAGTCTCTTGTTAGTGTTAATTATAAAGCGGCACGTGCAAAAACTATGTTCTATCTATCTACCTGTTCCATGTTTCCATTGTTCAAGCCTCGGTCGACGCAATGAGAGCGGAATGCGTTTCGGTGCTACTGTTTTTTCCTTGCAGTTTTTATTGCAATTAGTTATTTAGTATTTTTCAGTGTGAAAATGTTGGATGGTGTCAATAGATGACATTGATATTATAATGACTACAAATTAAACCTATCCTATTTACCCCTTATTAACACGAAATGTTACCCAAGCAATCCAATTAAACATTTTGGAAAACACAGAGGATAGCAAAGTGAAACTAGAACGGCAATAAACTTGATTTTACATAAAACTAAATAATAAATATTGAAAAGTGGGTGTGCTAACTGTAACATCAACTGTTAGAGGAAAACTGTGCGACATTTTATAGAAATTATATTTAAAATATGAACAAAAAAAATCGCATTGTTGTAATCGATTAAAATGTTTGTTGAAGTACGTGCGTGCTATAGGCTTTGATGGTATCATTTAGTTATGAAAGCGTCTGAACAAAGCGCTTTAACAAAAAAGGTGAAAGCGGTTTTTTTTATTTTTTTTGTACACATTTCAGGTTGGGCTATCCGAATCCAATATACGTGAATGTGGTGCGTGATCCCGTGGAGAGAGTGATCTCTTGGTACTACTACGTGAGGGCGCCTTGGTACTACGTTGAGAGGAAGAGGGCCTTCCCTGATCTGCCTCTACCGGACCCTGCCTGGTTGAAAAAGGTTTGTTCATCATGTTAATTCTTCTCTCTCTCTCTCTCTTGCCTACAAGATTAAGTTTCAGTTACCATCAAATCTTAAGAACTGTACGCGAATCATATACCAACACCTATCTTTCTTTCTTTTTTTCTCAAAATTTAGGAATTAGAGGTCAACAAAAATTCACGTAGGTACTAAAGATAAAGAAACCGTCGACCAACCAATCCAAGACTTTTTCATTTCTATGTTACAAAATCCTTTCTATACGTACATAACACTAACACATACACAACATCACGTCTTTTATCCTCGAAGGAGTAGTCGGAGGTGCACATTGCGGCACTGAATGCCACTGTACAATGTAACACCCACTTTTCACTATTTATGTTATGAGTCCCATGTGGTGGTGGTGGGTCTATTGCCATATACCGGGTACAATTCCAGACTCCGAGCTACCACTGAGATTTTTTTAAAACCCAGTAGTACTTTGCCTGACCCAGGAAACGAACCCGAGACCCCTTGGCACTTGCGACTACTCGGCCAACGAGGCTGTTCTTTCTATGCGTATTGGTATATTATCATAAAATTGGGACCTGGAACATCCTCTTATATTTCCGTTATAAACATCTTCTATTACAATTAGTAATGGACGTCATCGTATCTAAGCACGGCTCAGTCTTTGTACTGCACACTATTAAAAATTGACACCCACACTCCTACAAAAAACCGACACGCAATTATTGACTTCAACTATTAATCATCACACCAGTTCACTTATCTGATTGTAAGTATGCATAATGCGTGTCAATCAGATAAATAATGGATCTATATGTCATATACATAAGAACTATAATTAAATTTTTCATATTTTTTCTCCATTATCGTGAGAATTATAGAATTTTTCTAGTGTTCATTTGAAACAATCGTGACATGATCTTCATTCACGAGATGTGTTTTTGTTAGCTAACGGTGAAAATTATCTTGTTGGAGATGAGTCTACTTGTAGAATGATTGCAGAACATTTTGTTCGTGCGATAGCTTCTAAAATTGCATAGAACACCTTGATGGAGAATGTAATGGCAACAAGAGTATCGTAACCAGCTATCTATTACGTTGAATTATAACATAATCTTGAAATCGAGACGGTGTCATGGAACCTTTGTATAAGAGTTATCCTGACGCCAGTTTACTTTGGTTTCACTGGTTCTTTTAATTAGCGCACTGAGAGGCTGGCATACTAGTTGCCTAGTTGCATCTGCTGGACAACATTATCTTCTGATAGATAACTTATTACTTGTATTATACTGAACACATTGCTGACTTCTTCAGGGGTGCTTAATAAACTTACGTGTGATGTAATAAAAAAACGATCTTTTATCGTCTCAATCATGTTAAGAAAACATGTTGAATACAGTTATTTTATAAACAAAAGTAAACAAATATTTTTCATGTTCAAAAAGGAGTTCTGAAAGTGTAAAGTTAGATACGCTTCAATATCAAGTTGATCGCCCGCCAATTCACGGATGAAATGGCTAAAATTGAACACGTGCCGCGCCGTTAGTTGCGCAGGAGTTGATCCCTGCTAAGGTCGCCATTAGTAGGGAATGTTATGAAGCTATCTTGAGTTGATGATATAATCATATAACTGGTATATTGTTGCTATCAGTTTCAACATTTTGTATATTGTACATTGTAAAAATTTCTATATAGTAGATTTCAGTGTTGTACTTTCTTGACATCTCTCCATATAAATAAACACGTATTGATTATAAGATAAAAACTACACAAGCATCATTAAACAGAACATGCATGTACACATCAAATGGTTGTACCAATCACAATATCTGTCGAAGACAATAGCTAAACAATTACATCTCTCAGCGGTATAAATCAATTTTTAATGCGACCGTTAACACCATGATAATATCGATAACCATTCGGCCGACTCTCCGACTACATTCCCAAGCTTTCGCGATTTCCTTGCTCCGCAAACCTATTTCATGGGCATCAACAGCCAAACAACTGACTAACTAACTCTTTGATGAATTCAGAACCATTTTTCCGCGTTTTACACCATAATCTATGACGAATTTAGTTTTTTAGCGTGTCGAGCCCCGTTAGGGCTGTCAGATTGTTCATTCTAAAATCCCATGGTCAATAGTTCAGGCTGCAGATCAGTCGGTCACGATGCTGTGGTTAACACGACACGAATCAATGCTCACGATCGACAACTTACATCGATATGTAACGAAGCAATGCGTCTAACGACTTGTGAATTAATTGGGTTAATGTATCTGATGGGAATGATACGTCATTTTAGTGCAGTTAACGATTTAATAGTGATGGTACTCTGTTTCTAATACCTCAATACATTAGAGTTGTACTTCGTAACTGTTATTGTGTTATTGCTTCGACTTCTCGATCGGTTTATGGCGTTTTTAACATTGTAATTTGAATTTGTTCCAATTTATTCTTTTGCAGTAGCGTCGACGTGTTTATTAATGACGTGACCTTTTATCTTTTTCTTTTTTATTTAATTAAATCGTTTTTAATTATCCAGTAGATAATAATTATTGCTTCTGGTTGTACAATTATTCAAAGTTTATTAATAATGGACTGAATGAATTAATTGTTTAAATGAAAGTAAGTGATTGAAACGTTAAATCAGATATGTTTCAATAAATTGAATGCGTTAGATTTTGATGATGAATTTGATCAATGGATATTGAACAATTCCGATAATAACCGACCTAAAAACTTGTTATTTATTATTTAGACAGCCGATATATACAACTAAATAGTGATGTAAATGTCTTATTTTCAAATACAACGACTACTTTGCAGTTTAATTAACAAACTAATAAAATTCTAAATATAAAAGCGAAGACGTAGACTCTTAAATATTTGCGAATAAATACGTACTTAATTGTAATGGCAGTGTCGGCACTAGTACTTAAACCCTTATCTAGAATCTAAACTGGCATCTTAAATTGTATATTGGTATCGTACAGAGATGGTGCAATCTTGATCGAACTTCAAGAACAACATTTTATGAGAATTGCCACCAATACATTTATGTGTATTTATGACTCGTAGAATGTGTATAAACGTGTGTATTAAATTGTTACTACAACACTACATACAAGTAATTTGAATACTAAATTGTTTTAATGGTACAAAAATATACATGAAAGTGTAATAAAATAAAAGTGTAGGTTAATGCAAGTTTACTGTTTTAAAAGTTGAGATGGCTTTATTATTTGTTTGTGTGCAAATGCACAAATATTCCTTAATTAAAATTAATTAAGGAATATTTTTGTACATTTGTCATCATCGCATTGAAAGCACTGTCGCGGGTTCGGTTCCCGCACGGAACAACTCTTTGTATGATCCATAGATTGTTGTTCCGGGTCTGGGTGTCATGTGTATGTAAACTTGTATGTTTGTAAACGCACCCACGACACAGGAGGAAATTTTAGAGAGGGGGCAAAGTATAAAAAAGTAATATCTACCTGTCTACGTCGTCTGCTGGATATAGGCCTCTGTAATGGTACGCCACTGACCTCGGTCTTCTACTCTTGGTATACTATCAGCGCTTGAGGTGAGGACATCATCACTCGACTTAACTGGGCACAAAATCGATAGCGATTTCTTTATATGAACATAACTAATGAATTAAGGAAGGAAACACCTACAAAAATCTGACAGTTACTCTTCAAAATAGTGATGTACATTTACAAACTTAGAGTTAAGCGATCAATCAATGCCTAACGAAAGAGAATGGAAGTTTTAACTAATTGCATATTTTTTTGCAAAAGCTAATTTATATTTTAAACGGTACATGTTAGAGTTGTAATTGCCGAAAGCCTAGATTTCATCGGAGTGTGAATTAGCTTCGAGCTATTCTTTGACGAAACAATTAGCACCAATTCTTTTGAATATTAATCATGGCTATAGTTCTTAGAAGGCTAAGTAAAATAGATTTGGTTATAAGTTCCTTGTGAATCATTATAAGAGCATGATTAATATAAATGGATCATAAGAATAATATATAATAAAACCTTTAATATCGATTTTTATTTCCTTAAAGATAAGTGTAGGATGTTCTTAACACTGAAAAGTGAGATCTTTTAGACAAATCGAACCACTTCTTTAGTTTTTATCTGAAGAATGAATGTGTAATATCAGGAAATACAATCGTTGCACTATAAGTACTGTGAATTACTTATTAGGTAAAATTGTAAATCTAAAATTGTAATGTTGATTGATTACATAGGTTCAAAACTTTTCAGATTGTGTAGGTTGCCCTTGTGCTTCGCTTCGCTCATGGCGATCCCAAACCAAATTGAAATGCTCGTACATACACTATCTTCGTAGTCTAGTGTTTGTATAATAGTTATGAATTATAGACCTTGTAAGGCAACCCACGTAGAGACCTCTTTCCGAACATCCCTACAATTTCTAGATGTCTATCGAAGTAGTCACTCATATATCAATGGGCAGGAAATGCATAAATGCATTAGCTATTCTCAAAGCAAAACTAAAACAGGTCGACATGCTCTGGATTTCTGATACCGTTTCCAATATAATCTCGGTGAAAGAAGTTTTCTTTAAAAAATCTTATTTTGTTTATTGTCACGCGCTATTTGTTTTTTTTTTATGGCTCTTTAGTGCAATTCCTATTACTACAGTTAATTTTCATCGCGTGCTATTTAGTATTTCATTGCTTTATGCAGTATTTCTTTTCAAAATAATTATTATTTATTCTCTAAAGATAGTTATTTTAGTTTAATTTCGATTTTGATCGGTATGTGTAGCTAATAGAAAATTTGTCCCAGATCGTTGTTACACAGCTTGGAGGAAATTATCCAAACAGTTAATTAAGATTCTAGTGCTCTTACGGCTGAACTCACACTAGTAATTTAGGAACAATAACTGTAAAGTTCGCCATGGTATAATAGGTACAGAGTATCTTACCGCCTAATTATAGCTTTACTATAATGGTGTAAGTAAACCAATGCGTGGAAAGTCAGCCAAGTCATTTAGTATACGTAAGATATAAATATTAGTTCAATTCAGACATAGTCATCATTGTTTGGCTTCTGAGCCTTTATTAAGTGTAGGAGAGCCATGCTTCGGCACGAATGGGCCGGCTCGACCGGAGTGATACCACGGCCTTACAGAATACCGACGTGAAGCAACGCTTGCATTGTGTTTCGTCGTGTGAGTGAGTTACCAATTCCCAAAAGGCTGGTAACGCACTTGTAACGCCTTGGTGTTTCGAGATCCATGTGCGGCGCCGATTGCTTACCATCAGGTGATCCACCAGCTAGTTTACCGGCTTATGCTATATAAAAAAAAATATGGGACAAGCCCGCCACAACCTTCCAAAACCGTTGCAACTCCTGTAAGCCAGGATCTACTACAGTAGATACAACAATGAAAATACCGGAACACTGAAGTCTGGCGCGTCCCAGGGACACGAGTCTTAGTTCCCGCAACGAAGGCATCAGGAGATATTATAAGAGGAGAAGAAAAAAAAACGATAGTTTCCACTAAGACTTCCCTCGGCGAATTACTGCAGGAGACAGAATGAATTAAGCCTGAAGGCACAAAAAAAGACTGTCAGCCTACCAGACTAATAATAAAAAAAGACATGACTTCGTATAAATATACATTTTAGTATCGTTTCTACTTTTAGTTAGTTACCTTTTAATTCCCAATGTAACCTTCCTTACCTTCGTCTTGAACCAAAATTGATCGAACCAATTATATGTTTCCTAAAACATTTAATGGTAAATGTAACAGTGCGAGGAATGTCTTGAGTCATCAGAAACTCAATTAGTTTCCAACAAAATAAAAAGTTTACTTGTTTGATTTCAATATAAACTATTTAAATACTTACTTCCAGCTTACATTGGAACTTAATTAAATCTACAGATCTGATTGTGATGATAAACCGAACCGAGATAAACTATAAGTACGAATCCATTATCTACTACATGATTTATAATTTAGTAATACATAATACCTTCTGGTGTATTGCAGCTACGATCAAAATAGCTTGTATTTATTTGGGAATTACATTGAAATACAGTCAAACAAGTCGGTAGCGGTGTAAGAGTAAAGGAAGAATAGAAAGATAGATGATGATTAACTAAAAGAAGAAAAAAAAGATGATCACACAGAAGCTAAGCAATTTAACTACCTTTTCTTAGATAGTCGTTTCTCATGTGAAAGATAAAGGAGTTTGTGTTAGGATAATATCTGATAGAGGAGAATGAAAAATCTGTCTATGTATATAAAAAACAAATTTCCAAACAGATTGACGTCATCTTTAGATTTAAAAGGTTTCGGTGTTTTTGAACGTTTTCCACCATCGTCGTAACAATCAGTAAGGACTTCAAAGCACCTTATATATTAACTCAATAATAGGACTCGGATAACACGAGTCTATTCAAACGAGGCTTGTAAGTTGTACATAAAAACAAATTAGTTTTGACTCAACAAAAAATGTTGATGATATAATTAAGTTTAACAAAAAACTAACTCATACGTGCATAGTATTTAGTCTGAGCTGTGATAGTAATAAGTGGGCGATAATTAAAAATATTGATGGACAAACTTGATAGGCTGATGAAGATGTAGGTAACTTGTAATTTTTAGCAAACTTAAAGTAGGAAGGTACCTAGTTCCGTATTTCAAATTAAATTACCAATTCATAATTCTACACTTTCTTTTAAATATTTAACTCAGATTCTATGAGATTCATCATTTTTTTAGATTTCTTATTGGATTTATTTTTAGTAAAAATCTGGGGCCCTAAAAGTTAAGGTACTTCATAACGAAGAATCCTATAATTCGAATGTATATCACTACATAGTATAAAACAAAGTCTATATCCGCCGTCTATTAGTCCATATGTGTGCTTAGATCTTTAAAACTACACATCGCACATTTTTATAGTAGATACCTAGAGTGATTCTTAAGGGAGGATTATACCTCTATGTATAATAAATGAATATTGGACCCGTGCGAAGCCGGGGCGGGTCGCTAGTGTAAAATAAAGTGATATCACTTGGACTTGGAAAAAAGTAATTCACGATACGTTCATACTCCTTTGTCAAACCTCAAATTAGCAATAAAAATCACACATTTCCTTAAAAACTTATTTCTTTTAATATTTAATTGCAGGACTTTGAAACGTGTGTGCTGAGCGGAGACCGGGAGTGTCGCTACATCGAGGGCCAGACTCACGAGGGTATCGGAGACCACCGCCGGCAGACACTGTTCTTCTGCGGACACGACCCACAGTGCATGTAAGTTCATTCCAAGAAATCGATTACAATTGTGGTTTTGGTTGCTATTGTTGTTTTAATGTTTGTTCAACGATGATGTCTGGATTATAATATTCTAGCTGATATTTAAATGGTACCATACAAATAAATACACTATAGTCCATCTGTTTAGGTAATTAACTAAAGGTAAACAAAGAAAACCACGTGACACAGAGATACTTAACCTACTATTACTTCAAATATTTCTCGTGTTTTAATTTTAACTAAATTCACTTTAAAATCGTTGATTTGTCATACACACACATACAAGTACAATGCCTAAATCGTACAAGAGCCTAGCCTATGGGTCTATTTCATTATCATGTTTAAATAGAAACTATTCTGAATTTGATGTACGGATTTCTTTCTTGTACGTATATGTGCCTTTGGGCCAAGTTTCTTCAATATATTTGAACACATTAATTACAAACGATGAATAACCTATACTTAAATAACTTAATAACAAAAACAAAACAAAGAAACAAGATAAATTCAACAAAATATGAACGCGAGCGCAAACAACGAGAGAGCTGTCAATGGCGCCTGATTAACCAACTAAACGTAATACACGCTACTTTCATTGTCGCGCTACATCTTAGTTGTACTCTTTAATTTGACAACATTATTTTGCTTCGTTCTTAAAGAAGGGTTTTGGATACCTGGGATTTTAGGCTCTTTATGGTGTCTATTGTAATGAAATATTATATTATTTGATAAATGTTATTAAATTAATATCCTCAAGCAGATATATATAATATTTACTAAGAAATAAGTGAAAAGGAACAGAAACACAACATTTAATTGAGAAAACTGTCGTAAAACGGGAAACAATTTTATTTTCTTATGAAGTATTTTGAATCATGGAAATGTCAACTATAAAGAACTCTTTTTATGGTTTGTTTACAAATAGTTAACTACCTAAACAGACGGAGTATAAGTGAATTTAACAACCACTTAGACAGACATTGGGAAACGGGAACTAAAAGATCAATGTGGTCCTAGGTGTCTTTTTTTGTACTTTTAGCCAATTTTTAGTGATTAATAAAGTATTTTTAATAGTTTAACACTTTAACCCTTTGAGTACCGTCATTATAGACACAATTAAAGAAAAATAGGTTGCGGTCACCGGTGTCGTCGCGGTGTTTGCCAGTTTAAAGATTGGAACATCGTTACTAAATTTAAAAAGGTGTTACTATACAATGCGTTTATCAAGTGATTCCTGACTGTCTAAGAATTGCTATTATAATTTTACTAGGCACTCCTTAGTTTGATTAATCTCTTTCTTTAAAGTAAAAACCTAAATTGAATAGACTTGTGTTCTTGATACATATTATTAAAACATTTTGGTTAAATCACATTAATTACTTATTACATAATCTCTAATATTTCTTTTCTTAAATTTCAGGCCATTCAACAGTGTGGAAGCTCTGCAGCGAGCTAAGAGGGTGGTGGAGGAGCAGTACGCGGTAGTCGGTGTTCTGGAAGACATGAACTCCACACTGCTGGCCTTCGAACGATACGTGCCCAGGTTCTTCCATGGAGCCCTGAAGTTATACTGGGGTACGTTACTTTTTAAATATTTTATTATTATTTATAAGAGTTGATAGTATGATTGGTTAGACAAGCAATATATACCAACCATAGAAAGACTAGTATATTGTAGCCTTTCTGTGGTTGAATGATTGTCAGTTCTTCTAAACATATTTGTCGATTTGGTGTATAACGACAGCCGTTTGCGCCTCTTGACATTGTTATTCATTGAACAACTAAAGGTTCTTCTATTAAGTTGTCTATTTTACTCGGCCGCAATTACATTACAGTTTTCGTTTCATAGATAGTTACATTTATAGGTGGTGTTTGTTTGTATTAGTATCAGCGCCTGATGAAATAATAAGAGCCATTGTGTCTAAAGAATTATAATCTTCTATTAAAATCTAGAAAATCATGAATAAATATAATGATGTTAATCTTTAATTTTAGTATCAGATACTACATTTACTAGAAATTGATGATAACCTAAATAATAATCAGCTATGAGATCATTATAGTCAATCAATTCAATGTAAGGCAATCTGATTAAAGATATTGCTATTCGCACCTGAATATTGTAGCCATGCATACACTGTTATCTTTATTGTTTTGGTATAAAATTCACAACATTCTGCTCCATCTTTAAATTATTTTAAATAAGTTTTTTTTTCACAAATTACAGAGGAAATGAACACATTCACGCGAATCAACCGCAACTCCTTCAAGCCGCCAGTCTCCGAGGAAGTGAAGCAAATAGTCCGAGCAAACTTCACCAGGGAGATCGAATTCTATGAGTTCTGCAAACAGAGGTTGCACATGCAGCTGAGAGCACTCCGAGATCCAACCATCACCCTCCCAACTCCCCGGAGGACGAGGAGGCGGAGAGCCCGTCATATGAACAGAGTGTAACCATAGCAACCTGATGGGCATCCCATCGCTTCTAGACTGTGTTAGGTTAGAAGTCGTGTAACCGCCTCAGAGATAGCGTGACGTATCTAAAACAGACTTTATAACGCGCAATTTCGTTTCGTCTTTGCTTTTAGTTGACTAACTCTCAAACTAGGCCAATCACGCGACGTTAAGCGCCTGATAATTTCCTTAAGGCAATTTTGTATTTACGCGTCTTTCGTTAACTTTAAGTTTTCCAGTGTTTGTTTATTTGAAACTATGCCAGTGCAATCATTATTTTCCTTATTTCTACTTGTGTAGTCTAGTTTATTATATTATTATTTATGTGAATGTCAACACATTTGTATAAATATTTTATAAAATTGTTGTATAGTTTGCCAGTAAATTAATCGCACGCTAAAATTGAACTTGATTAAATTATTATTTGCGTGATTTTGTTGTTTATTGTTAAGTCGTGATCGCCGCCATCTTGGCTATTGGCGCGAAATTGTGACTATTTATTGTAATTGTTTAAGTGATGTCCATATTTTTTATTTTAAGCTAAACATGAACCATTATAAGTACAGCTTCCTTTTTATATGATTTTGTATAGTATAGAGAATAATTAATTAGCTTTATTATTAACGCTAGTTACTAATATAAGTCGCACTATTATTTAAAATGGACTTCAGAGAGGAGCTAGACAGAAAAATTTTTCAAATTACTTTAAATCTGTCTACTTTATGATCTGTACCTAAACTACGTAAAATTATTTATTACGAGATCAAATAAATATTATTGTGATATAAAATTTCGCTTATTGATAAGATAATGTAATTAAACTACTTACATAGTTTGAAAATGTGTGTTTTATTTTAATTTCCCAGTACAATCGGTTTGTTGAGAAATGGTTCGTACATATTAAAATAATTATTTGTAACGTCGTTAGTCCCAGTTGGGTGTCATTTACTAAATTGATTTTGAAACAAATCCTTTATATATTAAAATCTAAAATACCTCGAAAACCTATAGGTCCTAGCGAAAAATTAACCAAATTTTCAAAATCCCCTAGGGTCGGCGCCCCTTTTCAAAATGTTTGAACATCAAATTCAGTACACTAGAGGTTGGGATTTATTAGCTTAGAGAATCTAGAGTATTACAGTACATCTTAGAATTAGACTGCTTTCGAAATGTTCTTGGTCCCAGTTGGGCGCCATTAGCAGATTTTTTATTATTATACTCTGTGCATTTGAATCTAAAATACTTCGAAAACTACACATTCTGCCTAAAAAATAAATAAATTTTGGAACCCCCTTGGTGTCTACACTCCCTGTAGAGATATACCTATTTTCTGACTGATAGACAGTGTGGAATTAACTTTGGCTCTGACCAGACGTAATGAGTGCTACTTTCCTCTAGTTCATGGCATTTCAAATACAGATGGCTCTGTTCTAAACTTTTTAGGTTTCTTTGCTAAGTTTTAGTTCTGCTTTCGTGTTATTTAAAAAATAAACCAAAATACGATAATTATGCACATTAATTTATTAGATAGGTATTTATTACAAAACAGGAGTCAATTAAAGAATAACAATAGTTCATAAGGGTAGTAATTCAAATTGTGTAAAAATAATATGGCCACATTTTAAGAATTCAGGTACATATACAAAATAGACAAAACATCGGCCTAATAAATAAATTATCATATCGCTTAAAAGTAATAATAATTTAATTTAATAATTTCTAATAGTCTCATTTTATTAAAATCTCAAAACTGAATTAACAATTGGCTATTAATTATCAGTTCTCACGTAGGAAGTATGTCATGACACCGTGATTATAAAAATATAAAATATATCCAGATAATAACATCGGTATAAAACATTTCAGTTACAATATTCGTTATTCTCATAATTAGGATTCACAATCTTTAAACATTTTAAACAACACGTTTTCGTAACTACTTTATAACAATTGAATAATTTTACAAAGTTCTAATAGAGGAAGATATTATGTCACCACAGATATTACAACTAGAGATATTCGCATTATCTACACTTCATAATGTTATGTGAATAAAATCTTTCTATCTAGGTGATACTCCTAACTCGACATTTATAACTATTACAAAGGTCTAATAGTGTCATAAAAATTGTATTAAAATATTAATTAATATCATTCAGAATTCATCTCTCTATGTACAAGGAGAAAGGCGCGGCTGCGTTAACAGCTCGTGCCTGCACGCACATTCATCACATTTTATTGTCCTACGGGACGCTAATCTACAATTAACATAGTACGAAACAAAAATTGATGAATTATACATACATAACTCGAAACATATTTACTGCAAAATGGCACTCTGAGAACGAGTGGTTCACTCGTCGTTTACAATATCTACGCCTACTCTAATTCATATCACAAGTACGCTTTCCAACGTGAAGCCTCATCTATCCAGGAGCTTAGGACGCCCGCGCTGCTTCGCCCGCGAGGTGCCGCGGGCAGCACGCACAGGAATGTTCCAGCCCGCGCCGGCGGGGCAAGCCCGCCACGCCACCTGCGCACTCCGAGCCGTCTGCGACTCCCGCGCACTCGTCACTCCGACACTGTCACCTCTCGGCTTTGCGCAGCCGCGTCAGTAGAACGAGGGGTGCCAGTCGACCGTGGGGTGCAGTGGTGCCGACGTACCCGAAGCATTAGCCGCACTCGCCGGCGTTACCGCGCCTAGCGCGAGACAGTCGAAGCAGTAATTAGCACTACTATTGCTGTCCCAGAACTGTTGACCCTTGCATAAGAATCTTACGGCTAACTCTAATCGCTGTCCAGAAGATATTGCGGGAGCATACAGTACAAATTGGAAACGGTCAGAGAAACCGTCACAAGAACCTTGCACGTATGTAGCCTGCAAGTCCGTGTATGTTTTCCATCTGTTCATAGTGTAGCGTATATGTACAGTCTTGTGGAAGTCTAAGTTTCGTACTCGCACAGAGCCACACACGGTGACATGCACACCATCACACACGCGAGCGCTTTCAAGGCACACATTTTGCGTTTCTAATTTATCCGTAATGTCTACTGGAAGTTGGAACAGTGGGACCAGCGTCAGAGCGCCAAGTCGTGGTGCTGGTCTTGCTGGTGGAGTACTCTGCACATCGCAACCAGTAAGATCGTCATAGGCAGATTTGGGTACAACAGGTATCTCATCCATAAAAGTTTTTACATCTGCTAGATCAAGGCCTAAAACGTCTGCAAAACGTACAATTTTCTTACGGCCAGGAGTGCCGGGTGGCGTCTTTCCTGTTTTGAGTGAGGAGCAGCGCCTAACACGTTGAGGTCGGTCGTCTTCTACTTCGACTTCAGTTTCGTTGTGGTTTTCATCATTTACTTCTGCATTTAATAGGGACGGCTCGATTTCAGGTGCTGGCGATATTTCTTTATCAACAGAAACTTCACTGGTTATTATTTTTAAAGGTTCCCTACTGATTTCGTTGCATTTAACTATTCCGTTAGTTTCTTCCGTTGGGGTTTCCTCATCGAGTGGGATTTCAACTTCGGCCAGTGATAAATTTTCCAGACATTCTGTCGTATGAGTTTCATCGCTTTTTTCATTTTGTAATTCTTCTGCTTCAACACCATCAGATGGTTCACTTTTTGCTGATTCAAATTCTGAGTCACTGTCTACTGCGGTACTTGGCAAATTAGTTAAACTAATAGCGTCCGTATGTAAGGCAGCGATCGGTTTCGGGGCACAGTCGATTTCATCGAGACTATTTTGTGGTGCACAACCCTCAAATGTGATTGCAGAATATAATCGTTTATTTGCGTGACCATTTTCACGCGAGATTGGTTGAAGTTTCACTGGCGGAGTGCACTCTGTGTAAAAAGCCGTAGAAAATATGAAGCCATTTTGTGTTTTATCTGGTTGCTGTAATAAAAACTTGGCCTGTTCTTTAGCTAATTCAGGCTCAGAATCGACGTCATAAAAAGGTGGTTCTTGGTCCTCGGTGGGAGATCTTTCTGGAAAGGCAGGCTCGTAGTCATCGACGGGGCTGGATGGGCTCTCACACTCTAACTCAAAGTCATAGAAAGTGTCGAGATCTCGTGTGTTGGTGGAGGTCGTAGGCCTGTGCTGTGAACTGGCGTCGCGTGTGAGCCAACTGTTCTCACAGTGGTCGTCGTGTGCACCGCCGAGGTTGCTGAGGCGCGAGTGCAGATCGCGCGCGAACGCCGCGGCGCGTCGGCCGCACGACATCGGCAGCAGCGAGGTCAGTCCGCACTGCGACCCTGCGCGATCTCCGCTCATCTGCGTCTGTAACATACCACATAAACTGTTACAAATTGAACCGATTGTGGACATTGTATCGCGGTTATTTATAAATCAAAGGTGACCTAGATGGTTATTTTATTCATTTTGGCACGAACAAACATCGCAAGTAAGTATAATAACAGCTGCATCGGAATGCAGGAATTCCAAAACATTCCGCCAATCACAGAATAAAATAATCTGGTGTATAGTATCAACGAGGATTGCAATAAAATTTGAAAATCTTTTTTGGACTGCTCATTTGGTTTTCTTGTAATAAGCACGACATTTAACTCAAAGCCAGATTTACTATTAATCGTGAAAAACTTTGTGGTCATCAGCTATTTATTCTCTTCTTTATCGTAACATGAAAGTTGAATGTCAAATGTGAACGGCCTCGATAAGATAAGGGGATTACTTATTGCTTCTCAGTGGTCAGTGGGCCCCACGGACACATGGACGGACAAGAACACAGCGGCGCTAATGCACGAAATAAAGTGCGCTACTTATTGAATATTAAACAACAATAAAATAAAGCATAAATATGTTTCAAAATAAATCCATCAACAGTATTTCATATAAACAATAAATATTTGCACTGGCCTAAAGATTAATCAAAGTCGCAAGTCAGATTTAGCACAGCTCAAGGAAAGTGTCGCTTTCAGGTGCGTGCTCTTCACAGCATTATGAAGGTCAGTGCCCGACCCATTTTTGAGGTAGCGCTGTGAGTGTGTCGCCTAGCCTTGACCTCGATGCCACAGCCAGTTGCCGTCACACACGTTGATAAAAATCAATCAGTTAAAACAATCGCGAACATCTTATAACAGTTTATACACTTAATATTGTAAAAAAACTTTGATAATGATTCATTTATTGAGGACATCGAAGGCAATCAGTCTGCAGTAACACGATATCTTTGCATGAGAACCGCGAAATGTAAATATAACAATACCCCAGCGATGAAACATCAATCAGTTGTACCTACTGTTCCAGAATGTCAAGAGGTCATGTAGAAATTATCTGCATAACACAACAACAGCGCTTTTATTTTGATTTGTGACAGCGGACGAGCTCGTTTCTTACCGCAAACGTTATGTTTATAGTCTTCTAAATTGGACTAAATTGAAGTGAGCTGTTGCAAAATTGAATTGAATCCGCGTGACAGTGACGAGGTGGAGCAGCGACTTGATAGCGGTCCATAAATCCTCTAATTGTACCTAAGCATGTCCGTCTTGTTTTAGGAAGTGTAATAGATGTAGTGGACGATGTTTCGTAATTAGATCCCGATGCCAAAAGTAATACGTCACGGAAGCGGGGGCGAGCGTCAGTTTCTGGACGTGGATAGTGGCTATGGCGCAAGTCCGGCCCGATGACGAACGGCATAACTAATTCTAGCAGCTTTCAGCTAGAAAAATCTTTTACGAATTTGTTTATACAAGTCTATATGATGTGATTTTATTAACATCCGTCAATGTATCCGCTTTGACTGTGAAGAAGAATTCCCTAAAATCAAACAAAACTGTAAATTTCATTCTACAAGTTGTAAGTAAAATGTAGAACTGGCCACCTAAGATGATATTGATGTTGTTGCCCATTCAACGTCAGGTGATTGGCCAACAATGACAACAGTCAATCTATGAATGGACTACGATAGTAAACACACAGCTGCATATGTAGCAGAGATATTCAGACTTTACATTCTTTACATTCTCGCAACTTCTTACTGAAGTAGTACTAATGTTTTGACATTTTTGCGACCGTATCATCCTGTTCGTCACTTAAATTCTTGCTAATCCCTATTTGTAATCGTTACACCAAAATAGAGTTGCATACTGAATGCAAAGACACAAATGCGTAGGATCAATGGTCATTACAAGGAGACTCTTTGCAATCACGTGAAACTACGTCGCTCACCAAACAGTACCGACACATTTTCAAATCGTAGGAGGTACATTTTCAGTTAAATATAGTTCAGTAATGCATCGCAGCATCGGTGGCCGGTCTGCCATTATCCAATCAGGGCGAGTCGGTCACCGCTCCGAGGCTCGCAACCACGCCACTCGTTATTGTTCATAAATAATGGCGGACTCAATTCTTGTAATATATTATTACTACACGATTTGCGAGAAACAATACGAACACTCTGATGGTGGTCCTAAACGCCTCCCTGCGAGAAAGTGGTGCCTAGCGCTTTCCTTTAAGGGAGGGATGAGAAATTTCAAAAGTAACGCTTATACGCCAGAGGGTACAGTTGAGTTTAAATGTTTTTACGTTTTGTTCTTGTCGATCTACCTCAGATTCAGATCCAGATCTAATTGTATGTTTGAGTGTTGACTCGAGGAAAGGTGCTCGAGTCCTCTGAATTTTAACATGGACTCTGAATTGAATTCTCTGTTATAGTTTCGAAGTTCATGTTTTTATTCATTACTTATCTTTATGTAACAGTGGTTAATATGATAATAATTAATAACTCGATAACTTTAATATATCGACTTCGAGTGACATATGTATTATAGAGGGAAAATTGTGAATTATAATGTTTTAAAATAATAACCGCAAAAGTTTAATAAGATCATCAGCTTAATCACAATAGTACAGAGTTATCTGAAGAGGGTATACACAAAGTACACAAACAGTAAGATAAGAAGCAAAATAAGAGAACTGACAAAGGAATTATCGACAAAGCAATTATCTTGGAGTGTTCATATGAAGAATATGGTGTGGTCAGTTTGTTTGTAAACACTACCGATGCCTTTCACAGGTGATAGCTGATCAAGGTGACGAAATGTAAACAATGAAAGCGTTCATTCATTATATGTATATGATAACCTATTTTTATCATGTAATAGATAGATACTCTTGACATAAACAGTCGTTAAATTTTCGAAGATTCGACACGTGAAAATAGTCGAGACTATACGTATGAAGATTATTTTCCTTAAGGCTACGGAAGAATGTGTATAAAGCATCTATTCTTGGGTAGAATGAAGTTTATTTTCTTAAAAAGATAATAGAGACATATTTAGACTTGACAAACATATCTTTGCAAATGCAAGAAATTTATGCGCTTGATTTAAACTGTCAAATACCAAGCGGTCACCGGTGACCGCGACCTATTGTTCTTTAATTGTGTCTATAAAACCGGTACTCGACGAGTTAAAAAATTGTAAAGGAATGGTCAATGTCTAGAGATTAATGTTGATGGAGCTGATTCTGTTGACATTTCAAAATATTATAATTATGGGTAACATAATCTACTTGTAACTATACAATATTCTTTAACATTGAAATAAACCTCATTTGTAATCAGATTAATAAGTAAGGAAATTATTTAATCAGATTACTTACGTATGATACAATAAACTTTCTTATAAATAAGTTACAATCATGTACTCATAACAAAGTCTAGGTACTTAAGAATATCGTAGAATATCGTAGAATATTCACTAAAATACATTGAAATGGAACATTGACCGTATCTTTTAACACCTCCATTATACCAAAACTTGATTTTCTAGTTCTATTTGTGTGCAATTTACTAAACTGAGCAAATAAAGGATTTTCTCGAATCCTTTCTGTTCATATTTGCTTATGAACAGTCAATTGCCAATGACATCAGACTACAAAAAATAAGTGCAAAAACGATTATTTAAAGTACAAAAAGATAATTAATAAGTAAACCAAATACGTAATCAAAAAAGTTATTTTTATTCGGATAGCTTAGAAAGTAACTCTGTTTAACAGTTTAAGTTAATACAACTAAAAATATCAGAACAATATTTTACTTTTAGCGATATTCGTCTGGGAAGAAAACGACATAACAGAACAGCGAAGAATTCAGAATTAAAGGAAATATCATGACACTTTACGTGTGAGCTCCTTCAATAAATGTTTGAAGTATAGGAATGATACAAATTTTGTTTCTGCATACAACTTCTAAGAATGTATCCGTCTGTTTGTCCGATACAATAGCAAAGAAACACTCCCCGCGAGCGTAATGTATGTGCAATTCTACATATGTCCGGTAAGACAAGACATACGCAGCAAACAATCGGGGCGATTATCCTCGGCTGATCCTTTATACTATAATGGTTCATCCATTTATTCATAGAACTGTAGTTATCAATCGCGCGATGGCGCACCCGCCTACTGCCATGCTGGCTGGGGTTCGGCGCAGAAATCTAAATTGATTTGAGCACTTAAGGAATCTTCTGCTTGATATCTGTGAGAATGACCATGGAGTTCATGTTTTGTTTTTCTCTCGAGAGACAATTTTTTGGGTTTATTTTTAACTTCTTAATGATTTTTTTCGTCGAAAAGGATTAGTTAGCCTGTAGCCTGATAAAGCAAGCCATAATACTTATCGCCGATTTTGAATTCAATTCAGATTCAATGATATTTTATGTTGAATTTAAGCTATCGTATCGTACCATCATAACTAAATACACATAAAAAATATGAAACTTGCAGTGATTTGTGTTTAAACATTAAAGTTTACGAGCATAATGTTTGGCAATCTCTGAAACAAGAAAGCTTAATGCATGATTTACTTGTTATGTGTTTTAAATCAGCATGTCGTCTGAGGAAATTTCCTAAATCAACTTTTACTACTGGGGTGTCACAATTCATTTTCTTAAACAACAATTTATGACTTTGTCACTAACAGAAATAATTCTGGACATTATGGCATGGACCGATACAAGATAGGAAATGTACAGGCTTACAAGATAGGAATCCAAAAATGGTCCTTAGATGCTGCATTTATCTTTATTCATTTTAGTGTTTTTAATACCTGACTTTTTCAAATGAAGCACCAGTTTTACCAGTTCCCCTGCATTCTGCATCCCGTCCCGCTAATATGCCATAAAACTCATATTTAAGGGGTTTTTTCCCACTAATTGAATAAAAACTGCATTAAGATGATACGTTTGTGGTGTTTTAAAGCCGGTTGTGGTTGACAGGATGGTAAGATATAAAATAGCCTCTTTTAAAGGTATGTTACTGTCCA